TGCATAAAAAACGTTCAGGGTCAGGCGGGCTAACCGGACAGCAGACTGTGCATAAAAAACGTTCAGGGTCAGGCGGGCTAACCGGACAGCAGACTGTGCATAAAAAACGTTCAGGGTCAGGCGGGCTAACCGGACAGCAGACTGTGCATAAAAAATGTTCAGGGAGCACGTATGCAGCCAAACCTCCTACTGCCCCCCGAACTCCCCCTCCCACTGAACGCTCACAGTGTGTTTTTTTAGATATGTGCCATTTCCTTTGCCGTTGTGGCTGGCATGGGGCGGGGGGTGAGTGATCAGACGAGATGTTTAGAAACCCCCCATTGACAGATGGTCACTGTCTAATTAAAGAGCAGAGACGAAGTGGGCCGCGTCAGCTGGTGAGCCATGTATGGGTATCTGATCGTGACACATCAGAGTGCAGTGTGTCATCGCTGTGGGGGGCAGTGCAGTGACTTGTGGCAGTCTGGGCAATCACACGCCTTGTCACTGATCTGGAGCATAGGCACCTCATTTGCAGTGACACTCACACATCACATCCTGCATTAAATATCTGTAAATGGTCATCTAGATGGTCAATGGAGGGGACAGACAACAATGTTGGGCCAGATCCAGGTCTGGGGGGGTCCTCAAGGTCTGGGGAGGGGGATCCTGAGGCCCAGGGTGTCCCTGTCCTGTTGATTATATCTCTCTAATGCTTCTGCTTTCCACCTTCTTCTGTGGTTGTAGTTACTGTAACTTTGCTCTCTGCAGACAGACTGGATTTTAGGCTAAATCTGACACATACAAGACATTTGAGTTGCAAATGGCATTACATCGATAATGAAGTTTCTTGCTTTTGCATGAGTTTTTTGTTGTTTGGCTACAACAACAAGCTAGGACTGGCACCGTGTTAAATTAATAAAATGATTGGCATCTATATTTACATTTTAATGACTTACATTTGAGTAATGTGGTAACAATAGTCAGTCATATGAGTGAGTATCTGTGGGTGTAGCACTGGAGAGCGTTGTTCTTTGAAAGCATCACGGCGGAGGTCTGTAGCCCCCATTGTCACGCATCATGTCAGCCCCC